TTTTGTATTTATTTATTAATATATTATTTACATAAATAACACATTGAAAGTAAATAGTTTTGTTTATTTACGTAAAATTATTCTTTATTTATAAAAGTATTATAAAATTGTGAATACTTATATTGCATGTATAATATTTATTCGTTTAATCATTAACGATAGATGAATTATTTATGTAATTAGTATGATTAAAAGTGAAGTTATTATCTTTAATAATTGTGTTATACCGTGTTAAAACTGTATATTCATGTACATATAATATCCACACGCACATTACGTTACCATTAATGGTAGTGATAAGTGTTATGAAAAATCAATACATATTAATTTATTATGTATACAGTACTTACATGCTATTACACTTATCTTAGCATTTGTAATATTACATGTTTATGTTTCCTTATACATCTACATATTGAATTTTAACTTCGAAAAAAAATTCAAATTTAAATTGCTTATACAACAGTGGTACCAATTACAAAAGTAGAAAAAAATATTCCAAAGAGCGTAAACATGGCCTCGCGGTACAATCACGCTATTCAGCGAGTTTTAGCAAAATTAGAAGCATCCATAAATTCGGAAAATTATTATGAAGCACATCAAATGTATAGAACTTTGTATTTTAGGTGAGTTAATAACTTAATTAATCAACATCATCAAAGAATGGTTTTTATACTATCGTTAATATGATTGCTTAACCTCTATTTCCAGATATGTTGGGCAGAAAAAGTATTCGGAACTTTTGGAATTACTGTATAATGGTTCTACTCTTTTATTACAGCACGAACAGGTATGTAATTTAGTCTGATATTTTTATTCTTATTAAATGTATAAAGATATTATTAGTGTATGTATATTCAAAATGATCTCATAATATACACTTTTAAATATTATTTATAAAATTCCTTCACGAGCAATCTATAATTACATTTTATTATTAATATCATTATACTGGTGTATTAAAATTTCAATGATATATTACAATTTATTCTCATAAGAGAAAAGATCTAGAACATTTCAAGACAATAAATAAGATTGTTCTTTATATCAATTGATGATAAAATATAGTATTTAATTATGTTTAGAACATTTACAACTATTCATACTGTTAATGTATAAAGGCTATTAGTATGTTATTATTGTTTATTATTACTTGTTACAGCATGTGAGTGGAGCTGACTTAGGGATTTTATTTATAAATGTTTTAACACAATCAGGAACAGAACCTTCTGAAGACTATTTTGAAAAAATTGCAAACTTGTTTCGTATAATGAGTCCTTTGTTACCTGAAAGAGATGTATTTGTACAATCTGCTCTTCGATGGAGTATAAAGGGTACAGAATATAAAACAGGTCATCCAGATTTGCATCAGAAGATAGCACGGGTATTTTGGAAAGGTAACTTGTTTAAATAAAATATTCATTTAAAATATTTTATCATTAATGAAATAATATATTGTAAATTTTTTTAGAAAATAATTATATAATGGCAAGACAACACTTTATACATAGTAGAGATGGTCCTGGATGTGCTGCACTGCTTGTTGAGCTCCATGAGCGAGGTGGTTACACAAGTGAAATAGATCTTTTCATAGCCCAAGCAGTTTTACAGTAAATATACATTTTACAAATTTGAAATGCCTACATAATACTTACAAAATATATTTATAAAATGTTATTGCCCCACTTTTTTAGATGTCTCTGTTTACAAAATAAAGCAACTGCACAGGAGGTTTTCAATTCTTATATCTTGCTACATCCAAACATAAGCAGTGGCCCTCCATATCTTCTTCCTTTATTGAATTTTTTATTTTTTTTATTAAAAGCAATTGACAGGTAAGGAATATTTTTAGCTGTTACTTGAATGAACAAAATTTCTTCATTTACAGAAATATATATATTTTGCAATTTATATTTTTCAGTGGTAAACTTGCAGTGTTCACAATACTTTGTGAACAGTATCAAATATCCTTAAATAGAGATCCATGTTATCGACAGTACTTAGATAAAATAGGGCAATTATTTTTTAACGTTCCGTCACCGCGACCTCGTAATCAAGGCCTATTTGGTTCACTCCTACAATCTTTTTTTAATGGTGTTGAAGATGAAGGTTCAGATGATGAACAAAGAAATACCGCTTCAACTTCACAAACAGTACAAGAGCTCGACTGATTAAAAGGTACACGTCACTGTGCAATGTGATGAAAGTAAATATGAATTTTTGTATATATACAGGGTGATTCAGAACAGCAGGTCAATCGTACAAGGGGTGGTAGGGGACTAAAAAAAAAACACTTTTTATTTAACAAACACATGTCCAAACTTGCTTTTTTTTAGTAATATAGCTTTAAAGATGTAGGTTTCAGGCAGTTGACAACGAGCAATTCGCCACATATCGACTGCTTAGGAAAGCAAGCAGGAGTCATCGCTCATGCTTCTGTGCAATATCAATGAAGTTTCAAGTAATAAATTGGATATCATTTGACATGGAGATAATGTCATGTTGTTTCTACGTTTAAATTTTAGCAACGATAATTTAAGTCATAATATTTTCGTAAATATAGTAGAGGATCTTCTACATTTTTAAATCCTTAATACTTCAAAATAAAGCGAAATTGGACATATATTTATTAAACAAAGAATGTATCTTTTATCATCCCCTATCTTCCCCAGATCGACAGTTCTAAATCACCCTGTATACGTATATTGGTGTCCCACATATTTCTAATAAACACATTGTGCTGATCTGTCAGATCATTAAATACTATATTGAAATTAATTTTCTTAAATGACTTGTACAGATACTTATTTAAAATAAAAATATGTGGGATGCATTCCTAGAGGAATTTTTCAAAGTTGTAAGTTGCGAACAGTACCCAAAAATTCATTTATCACAAAGTAAATCTGCATGGAAAAAAAACATTTGTGAAAAATAATGATTTTTCATACATGGCTTTCCTTCCATTATCAAGGTCTATTTTGATACTATATTTGAAATATTATTTAATATGTTAAAATTTTGTCAGAACTTTTAAATCATACACATAGAATCCTATTTATAAATACTACTGTGAAGATTAAAGGTAAACTTGAAATTTGAATAAAATCCTTGTACTAGTAACATATATCATACAAAACAAAAGTGTATTTGAGTGTAACTGCTGACATGAAGATTTATTTTATATAAATTTAATCGTGTGACAAATAAACGTGACATATACACTTATAGCTGCAGAAAAAGAGTGCTTAATGGTAATACTTGTTGCTGAAACACTAAATGAATGAAATGAATAAGTAATTGTCATAGTAACAAGTGAGATATTTATTTATCTAACTCTATACTAATGTAAACTATATGTTTAAAATTTTAGCGAAAAATAGAATACATATTTAGTTACGAAAATAAAACGGCCATGATTCTGTAATAAAACATTTTTCAGTACTAATAAAAATAATGTACAATTGCTGTGTATTCAACGGAAAAATATAGGAAAAACACGATGAAGGATATAGATTTATAATAAATGTATGCATATACCAGCATATATGTATTCTTGTAAAAATACATATATGGCATAAAAAAATATCTTTTTATTTCAAGTATAGCAGCTTATTTTTCCATAATTTTTGAACACAGCATATATTGTATGACTATGCAAAGCTTAAATTTGTACTGCTGATTTCCTTTCTTTAAAAAGAAAAATCAAATTTGTTTTCAAAAATACACCTTCTATATAATGTATTGACAAAAGTAATATTATTGCTTTTTACATTAGTATATTGGTATGACTTTACATATAATATTTAAGAAAAGGGAGAAAAGAAGAAACAGTAAAAAATGAATATAGGGAGATCAATTCACTAAAATTTATATTGAAATAATATACTAGACACACTATCATTA